CATCACTCTGTTACCAGACCTTGGGAATAGGTACTCTTAAGATTAATGCCCATTGTTTAACTGAAGATCAGTTATCAATAGAAACAGCATGACACAGATCTTTGTCTCAGGTATCATGGACAAATATTTAAATGACAGGGTAGCACAACTCTGTCCCAGCCAGTTACCATCATAGGGAATGCTGGGGAGGTGACCTGGGAAGGTACGCTGCCAACACCCCATCTTCAACTGCAAAAATGACTTTTTGTCAAGTTCAGACATGTCTGCATGAAATCAGGATAAATATTCTGGCAGTAGTTATAATTATTAACCATCTTCATTTAGCATTTAGTGCTAAGTCTATTTGGACTCGGGAACACACTTTGTTTCAGCAAAGCACATTAGGGACTGTGAGGGTCCTACATTCTCTGTCAGTGGCAGACAGATGAGTCACCAGGAAATGCAAGACTCCACGTCAGTTCTATTCCAAAAGTGCTTATTCAGGATTATGACAAATGTGCTTTTTCCCAACAGTTTCCAGAAAATCAGCGTCTATGACCAGCTCCTGTGGAAGCAGAAGCCAAGCCCTAAGGACAAACCTGACAGTTTTTCCAGATGCAGTCTAGGATCAGAGAGCTTTCTCAGCCTCTGTCTCACTTTTAAGTAGTGCTTTGGGATATGAGTACTGTGAAGGTGTTAGCTACACCAATCAATCATAATCTCAGTTCTTACTGAGGAACATCTTTGAGCCTTTTTGTGTGATTTTTTTCATGTGCCCACTTCTTGCATTATCTAAGTAATGATTTCACCTCTTTCTCAGGTCATCTGCCAGACTACTGCTTTCTTTTCATACAAATGCTTCTTAAAAACATGCTTATTTTATGAACCTCAGAAAAAGAGTTACTAATTAATGATTCCTTTCTAAAGGCACCTAGGCATACACAACCCGTTTCTTTCACGCCATGAACTTTTCCTGAGGGGCCAAATCATCTTCTATCTACCAAACTGTCTACCTTCATTCCATCACTGTCTGAAACTAGAGTTCGGGTGTAATTGGATACATATCACCTACCAGTACTTAGAGGAAACCAGTAAAATATTCAGTATTACAGAATAAGTAATATCTACTTCAGTTAGCAAAATACTTTTTAGTATGTTGTCAATACTGTTACTTATATTGACACACCTCATATACATTTTGTATAAAGTTAAGGAATACATTTTAGTAACATAAATCTGAAATACTTCAGTACCATTGGTTGCAGAGTTGCTTGTCTGGTTTCTCACCCTCCTAATCAAGAGACAATAGCTAAGGATGAAGTGTTCAGTTACTCCTCCTATCAAAGAGACATTCAGACATTTCTGCTTTATTACTTCTCTCTCTGCTAAAATATTCAAGACACTCACATCTCTATATGTTCACACTGAATAGTTCGACCTATCTGAATATCTAAAATATCTCACAACATCTGGAAGAAGGGTTCCAGGTAAAAAGTAACGTTCCTTACTTTTGAAGAAATGGTCCTTTTGAAGAAGTGATCCGACACTACAGAGAGTAAGGGGAAGTGTAACTATTCCTACCAAGGAGCAGGACTGTTCTCCATGACTTGAAGCACCAGAGCTTTGTGGTGTCTTCATTAATCCTTAGTGACAGAAGCCAGAAAGACTTGGTTTCACCTGTTTCTAACCCTGAAAAGGTACCCTTTCTATTCAGACATAGACTTAGCCAAACTGATCTATGCTTTTGTAATCCCATGCTTTGATCGATCCAATTTGCTCTTCCTTAGTCTGACCCAGATGCCACTCCATAACCTACAGATGGTTCATCGTACTGTATCCCATCTGTTAAATAGAACACAATAATGAGAATACATCACACCAATATTCCTCACTTCCCTTTGGTTTTCATTCTAATCCTGAACACAGCTGAAAGTCCTGGTCCTTTCAGTGGTTCATGACTAAATCATCTAAGAGAAGACCTCTTCTTTCTGCTTCTTGCAGAAGATACAACAGAGTTCTTATGCCCAAACTTGAATGTATGGGACAGAAATCTCCTGGCTTCAGAACTTACTTCTACCACATGTTGTGTTTGTTATGTTTAGGTTGTGATAAAAGATTAATCTCTTCCTGTGGGTAGTTTAGCTACCAATGAAATCACCACAGCACTACATGCCTAAATAAAAAATTAAACCATGTTGTTCATAAGTAAATAATTAAGACTGGAAGGAAAAACAGTTCTGTTTTGAAGGACTTATTAAGTTTAGCATATTATGCTTCAACACTACAGCATATACAGTATAGTTAAAAAACCCTTTATAAATCTGAACACATATCACAGCAGTACTAATAACAATCATGCATAAAGAAAATTATTTGTATGATATTGAAATTTGGGATTCCTTAAGACATTTAATTACATGAAATTGGTGCAAGTTTGACACTTAAATAGGAGTTGTGTAGAGGTGCTCAGTATCTGGAAGAAAAGTACTATCCTCTGAAAACTCAGTGCAGTGCAAGAGAATTTTAAGTTATTTTACTAAACAGAAAAAAATTAAAACCCAACTTGGTCACTAACACGAAGTTTTTATGAAAATACACTTTTTATGCAGAAAGGTTATCCCGTTTCTCAGAAGATGGATGATAGCAAAACCATTAGCCAGATTCCTAGGTGAAATCTTGGCTTTCTTGAAATCAATAGATATTTTAGCATTGAATTCCATAAAGCAAGAATGCAACCCATGAAATCTGGAAGAGACAAATTTTGATGCATTATTGAATCTAATTGGTGAATGCAGCTCTTTGTTTTTCTTTCCATTTATTTCATTCTCTACTTTTGTGAAACACAACTTGCAGAATAAGAAAAGGCTAACAAATGCTCTAGAACCAATCAATGTTATGAAACTAATAACAATACAATATGAGCATGTAAGCTTATGTAGTGCCTTTCATGTAGAAGTATCCCAAGGCACTTTGTAACAGAAACTCAATAAGGAGTGCAAAAGTGCTTTGTCAGATAGGATAAGCCAGGGGAGAAGGGGAAATTAATTAAGCATGGATTTAAATTTCTCAGCCAACACAGCATTTAGAACCTTGGTCAAAAAAGACAGTGGTTCCAATATCTGTATCCTGGGAAGAAAAAAGACTATTTCAGCCTTTAATTCTTGAGGGATGTTCAATAGTTTTTCCACAATAAAATGGGTATGAGTAATAGGAATGCAGTTTGTAGGCTACATTTCCAAAATGAAGCCCTTGTCTCTCTTCCTCTAGTTTTTCATAAACAAATGTATTCATAAGAGTTGATCACTTGACTTGTATGCCAGTAAAGCCACTTGACTGCAGAGATACCTAATATGAAATTTGGTACTGTAGAAATTACAAATACCAAGTTAAGGATGGGCAATGGCTTTGCAGGCTGTTTAGCTCGCTGTTTTAAATCAAAGTGTTTCTTTATGGACGTAGTCCACATCTCTGATAGCGGGAGTAATCTGTTACACAGTAGTTCCTAAGATAGCATGCATTTCACAGGGAAAAGCAAAATTGCTTGGGAAAAGCTATAGTAATTGATAATGCATAAATTACAGCTTCCCTGATGTTGCAGAAACTTGCACATCCTCTATTTTTCAAACATTTTTCTCTTAGGAACACATGGACCATCCTCATTTTTGGATGGCTGCCTCTTCGGATTAATGCATCCTTCTGGTGCATAAATTAGGGATGCACAGAGGAAAAAGGAGAAGCACTAAATCTCAGGAAACTGAAGCCATACAGAAAAATGAGGTTCACAGTAGAGCTGAATGAATGACTCACTGTGAATAATTTATCAAAAAGTTAGCCTCCACTTCTGTTCATGGAATATCTATAACAAGCTTATAATTTCCTCAGTTTTATTATAAAACAAAACTTTAAAATATTGTATGTCCTCACTGCAAATAACTTCCTGTAAATATGTCATGTCCTATCTTAAGAGAGAGTGGCATTTTGATTGATCCAATAAATCACATGATGATGTTTCTGTTCCCTAGATAGATGAACCCACAAGCACATACTTCAGATGTCTGCTGTGGTTAAGAAACCAGCTCATTAGCAGGTGAAGAAAAGTGAGCATAGGCAAAATAAATGAATTTAAGAAAAACTCCTGGGAGTTTTTTGCAAAAATGTTCTCAGTATTTATATTGCAGCTGCAGTCCATTGTAATTTTCATTAATAACTCTAGGAATTTTCAACTACCTGTAAATATTTTCCTTGGGGGACACGAAGAGTGAACTTGTTCTGGGAAAACTTGAGTTTGATGGCACGTGTTCTTTTTTTAAGATTTGGTACTGAATAATTTACCAGTCTTTCTAGGATTTGTTCTAAGCTCTTGAACAGTTATTGGGAGGTAATGCACACACACATTAGTAAGATTAAAGTAGTCATGCTAAAATTTTACTAGATTATTGGTGATCTGAAATATCCTTGCAGAATTTATGGTTTTAAATGGACTGTCATGCTTTACGCGAATTTGAACAGTACTCTCTGCTACTTCAATAAAATATGGAACCTCCGCAAGTGCTTGAAGAAGAATGAACCATTAGTGCATTTAGAATTCACTTTAGTATACAGAGACTATCAGTTTTATAAAAGCCATCCAACAAAACCTCATAAGGGTTAATATCTCTTAGAATGTTCAGATGTTAAAATATTATAATACATATTACAGAAAAAGAAGACTGAAGACTGATCAGAAACTGGACTCTTGTTGTGTGTTGTAACACAAGCTGAAGATAAAGACAGCATACCAGAATTCTGCCCACTTTGCATTACTTCTGATTACACTTGCATAATTAATGCTAAAATTTTGCTTTTAGTTTTGGTATATTTAAAAAGTGAATCTGCATCAAGTATCCTTTGACAGATCTATGCTAAATCTCTACATAATGCATCATTTGCTAGATTCTCTATTTTATAGCAATACCATTGGTATGAACTTATAAATATAATCAGAAAATAAAACTGAAAAAATTAACAACGTGAGTTCTTACCTGAGCTCTTGAGCTATAGAGTCCACTTGAACTGTTAATAAAAGCAGGAAAGAATGAATTAGTTTACACTTCCAGACTTGTGCTTTCTGCAACCTTGCACCTGCCTATCTGTGATGACAGAGGAGCAGCTATCAAAGCACAGGTGATTATTTATGCTAACCACAGAATTGCAGCTACTAGTGGCCAATGTTAACTGAACATATAATTCTCACAGTTACTTTAGGATGCATAAAACCTGAAGTGTGATGTTCAGTGGAGCAAAAAGAAAAATAATAAGAAAAGTAGTAAGAAAAAATAAAAGAGAAGGCACTTGTTTTTATTGCAAATAGAATGTCAAATCTCTGTTTTTTGTGAATTTTAATTCAATTTAGGAATGACAAAGGCTGGTGTTTACAAATACCTGCCCACACAAGGATATACAGCATATTGACAAAGCCAACAGGTGGTTCTAAGGATTACTCACATTGAACAAGCAACTTTTGTTGTTTCTACTTCTGGGAAAATGTTCCTGATCTATTAATTCCTATAGATGAGTGTGCATGTGTATAAAAAATATAGAGAAAGAAAATACATAAGTTTTAAAAATGTGTTATTAGCTTTTTGAGTGAAAAGGGTATGAATCCCATATTAAATACAATTAAAGTCTGCTGTGCCAGCCAGCCAGTTTTAACTCACAGTCCCGACCAACAGAGAAGACATGCTCTAATCCTGAGGTGTGTATAACTTCCCTATTCAATAACCTTTTTCAAGTGCCCTCTTCTGGTACTTTTGAAGTAGATATGAATTTTAGATTGATTTCAGACAACATTACAAAGATTTGATATGAGAATATTTATGTTTTTTAGAAAGGTTTGTCTGTACTTACCCCCTCATCTGCAGGCATTTTGTGGCACTCCCACCCCTTTCCCCTGTCTTTTCCTAAGTGAAGTCTATCACTTTTCACCTCTTTGGTCATTTGAAACTAGAGAACTAAGCCAAACCACCCTTTAATTTTTCATTCTGAACACAACTCAAAGCTGAAGGCACAATATTAACAATCCAGAACTACTGAGTTGTGACAATGAATCAAACTAGTCTGTTTTGCACAATCCTGAGAGTGCACAATCCACATTAAAATGGGAGTGAAGGATGGGTGTTTTGCATCTCTGAAAATAGTCATAAGCAAAAATGCTCGCAGGGCAGGCAAAACTTTGACATTTATTTTTACGTATCTCCATTTTTCACTCATTATCAAGAGTCACAAAAAGTGTTATGAATTAAAATAAAAAAGTTATTTTCCTGGAAGGGCTGTATTGCTAGTCAATCATGTTTTCCAGATGTTGAGATCATTAAGGGCCTGTTTATCTCTCAGTACTGCATTTCCATCTGTTCCTTATAAAAAGAGAGGAATAGCTAGGAAATACAACTATGTCATAACTTTGCAAAATGAAACATGAGCTCCAACCAGTACTTAAAAAAAGCACAGGCTTCTTCTCTGCCGCATACACCTGCACCTTTTGATTGAAGGAAATTTACTTCTGGACCATTTACGCAGCTAATTCATAGATAATTAATGGCAATAGACAGAAAAACATTCAGTTGGCTGAGACAAAGTTTTGTACATTATTTTGAAAGCTTCCATTCAATATTGTCTAGCTCTAGTCCCTATGGAAAATCTTTGTTTGCATAATGAAAAGCATAACCTTTATTTTCTTTGAGAAATAGCTCAAAGAAAATAGCATACAGTAGATTTTTTCTACTTTTCTTTAAACCATAGCTAATAACATCGTGCCTCTTAATGCCAGCAGTCTGTGTCCTGCCTTGATTAAAAAAGCAGCCCTAAGGAAGCTACACACTCTCTTACTGCACATTAGGGACTGTGCACAAGAACTATCATATTTCATGGTGTGCAGGGCACAGGGTCATGGAATGTGCTTGCTAACTCACCCTTGGTTCCTTTTGAGCGTGTGCGCAGCTTTTTATTTTCCCCATCTGCATCCATCTGTAATATTAACACAAAGTCTTTAATTCATTCCTTTTGCCATTGAGAAAAAAAAAGTCTCCAATGCTTTTTTTTTTTTACATTTCCAAAGGCTAGACAGTAATAGAAAGAAGAATAATCATGCCTTATTAATCTTGTCAAAGAGATAAAAAGCCATCTGTGAATATCTAGTAAATACCTAGGAGATACCTTTAATGACACAGATTTGTTTAATAAAGTGATGGTTATGAGTGACTCTGTAAGGTTTAATGACAAGGTCTACAAGTGTTAGCTGAAGGCATAAGGTTAGAAACAGCAATGCTGTATGAGTGCATCCACCTCCTGGAAGAAAAGGTCCCAGAAAGCCACAATGCCTACAGGCACTATGCATTATTGTTGTAAATGGAGCATATCTTAATAGCTGAGTTGGAACCTGCATTTCTGACAACTTCATCCTTAAAATGTGAAAACCTCTTGCTTGAATGTGCATAACTGAACATGTACAACTTTGAAATACTTCACCACTTAATCAACTACTTCTTACAGAAGTTTTGGTCAAAGAGACAGTTACAGATTTGTATGAGGTTTTGGGAGAGTTTAGTGTCCAGGTTTGTATTTCACATTAAAAAACCCAAACAAAACAAACCAACTAAAAATCCAACCCCCCACAAAAGTCAGCTGTTACTGTAAGATTCTAACTAAAATATGAGAGACCTTTCAAGATCAGCTGTTCTCATGACACTTTTGGCTACATCTAAACCAGCACTGGAAATATGCACCTTCTGGTCTTGGATCTGGCCCAGACCCATAATTGTAGGGGCAGGTTTTCAATCCATGGATTTTATTACAAACCCCTGAAATTCAAAGGGATTAAGATTTCACGTTCTGGTGTGGAGAGCTGCAGTGACATACTGCAGATTGTACAACAGTGTAATTACGACCGTATCCAGGGAGGCAAATTCCTTTCTAAAGGTAACTCTTAATTTTTATGTAAGAAAGACTCTCTCACAAGGAATTTTTGTCTAAGCAAAATATCAGAAACTCTGGAATTCTTCAGTCTATGGTAGTATCTTACTATCTCTCTTTGCTTTGAATCTCACTTTCCCTGTTTACAAAATGGTGGTGATCAAACTTATTGTAGACGAAGTAACTCCCATGTGCTTCTCAGATCAATATGCAGGAATAAATGCAGACACCAGCATCTGATTTATATAACTGTGTTGGGCAATAGGTAAATGCATTCTGTGTATAGTAGAAGTTGTCTATGCTTGGCATCTTTCCCTGCTAAAGGTCGCCAGATAAAAACCCATGTCATCAGAAGAACATATCTATTATTTTACTCTTTCTTTCTCAGGATCAGCAGAACTGATTTGCCCCACTGAGGGAAGATGCAGGAAGCTCTGTTTGTGCTTTTTCCCATTTATAGAGTTCGAAGATCTGAGGATGCTTTATTTTTAGCTTTGTATGACTCAGATAACTGAGATGTTTTGAAGGCCTTATCAGAAAGAACATGCAGAATATGACAAATTTGACCTAAGAAAGAAAAAGAGTAAACTCAGCCTTTCTAAGGGAGAAAAAACATTTCTCTACTTTCCTAGGTTTTTTTTCTCTTTGTCATTTTTTACGTTTACACCTTATATACAGCTACTGGAATCAAAATACCTATTTGCAGGAGAGAACACAAGCATTTGAAAGGGGTATTTGTGTACTTGAAGAAGTCTAATTCTAGAACACAGGTTAGCGATATCTGAAATGAAAGCATAAATTGATTGAAATGCATCTCAAAGGCAGACAATGATATCTTTTCTCTGTTTAAATTTACATCTGATGTTGATTATTAGCAGGGAAGGAACATAAGTGGTTTGTGTTTACGTAGCGGGGCTGATGGCAGCCTTTACTTGTTACTATCCTTAAAACCTGGAGAACGAGTTTTTGCAATGTGACTGCAATGGTAATGGGAAACATGGCTCTGTTCTCTGATGCTGAGTTGTGATTGAAGGCACTGCCCTGCCATAGACTTATAATAGGGGAGCAGGTGTGGCAATGATGGACTTTAATTTCCTTTAATAAACCTTTTATGTGCCACACTTTTACTGCCATTCTATGCTCTCCAAGGTCCTGCACATAATAGGTTCATTACTTTTGATTACTATAGTCTATTGAGACAAACAACTCCAGAACACACTATATATTATGTTCAGTTAAACCAATATAGACTATTTATCCACTGTGCATTATTTCACCTGCAACTCTACAGACAAAATTAACAACAGCTCCTGTAAGCTAAAACTATTAAAACCACTGGTACTCCTTTGTCATCATTTCATAATAAATACCACACCAATCACAGTGCTGCTCTTTTAATTATGAAACAAAAAGTGTCCATTGCTTCTACTGAACAGCAGTTACTTTGGTCTAAATCGCACGTTGCATTGCGATGAATATTTAAAAACTGCACAATGAGTGAAAACCAACAATAAAATCAATGCAGGTGATTTTTCTATTGATTTTCTTTCCTTGTAATAATTGGAAACTATGAGAGATGTTTAATCAACTCAAACCTAAAATTTATAGGACTATTTAGCCCGGTGCATACCACACATTAAAATAATCATCATGTCTGTGTTGCATAAAAAACTACTTAACTTACAAAAAGTCGCATGCATTAACTTGAAAATTATACAAAAGTAGCTGAATAAAACTGTGAAATCTTTTAAGTAAGTGTGTCAGCAATAAGACTTCTCTTGCTCAAAATTTAAATGTAATATCTTTGGATTTTGATAGTTCTTTCAGAGACTGCCTGATACTGAAAAAAGTGAACAAAGTTTCTCACTTCTGATTTTTATCTACGTAGTGATTGTTTTACATGAAATTACAGCCACAGATGGTCAGCAAGAAGTATTAAAACTCTTAAATCACCCATGAAACAACAAAAGAACTAAATTCTAAGTGAGAAATTCCATCCCAAGTTTTTAGAGGGAATTGTTATCAAGGTGTTAATTCGAGAGACATATCTTATTACTGCTGTGTACTCTAAAGATTGGATGGATTCTGGAAGGTGCTTCATGGTCTGAAAGCTGGGGATGGTCAGCCCTCCCTCCCAGAATGTACATTGTCTTGAGACAAGAAGCCATAAGGGATAAATAGAAAGGTCATGTCTGCACAAAGTCCTCACACGATGTCTCACTATCAATTTTTTAGCCATCAGGACCATCGGGATAATATCTAAGTGCTTCCCAGGAAAATTTTATCTGGAGTTACAGTCCCATATTTTTGATGGGGAAGCTTCACAAAAATAGTGACAAGTGAATAGTGGAATTAATTTCATGTTATTTTTGTGTCTTATACCTAGAGTCTCTGACTTGATGGGTTTTAAACCCATCTAAACATTTTCTTTTCCAAATTAGTTGAAACTAGCTAACCTACTCAAAAGGAATGAGTGGGAGATATACACAGTTAGAAACACAGTGACAGAGCAATGGCAGCAATGCAGTCCCAGATCATTAGGCAATCAGGCTAAGAAATAAATGCCTGCCTTAGAATTGCTTCAGTTGTGCCATATTCCTGTGATTTGGAAATTTACTGAGGATGTTGATGTCAAATTATTTTCCGAAAGCATGTTCCAAGATATCTCACTAAGTTTATGAATGCTTTCTGTCTGACTGCAGGAATATCAAAATGATCCTCCCTCCACTTTTCCTTCAATATTTGTTGAGACGTAAGGGTAAGTCAGTAACTAGATCACAGAAAACTGACTGGAGTCACTGACGCTAGTACAAATTCTGCTTAGCTGAAACTGGAATAATTTGCTATGTGGATAGTCATCATTCTCCAGATGAATTTACTGGTGGAATAGGAGCAATCAAACTTTCTGAGCAAGCTTCAGAGTTCCTGGCTGGAGAAGCCAAATATTACTTCTTCTGTTTGTAACATTCCACTGCAGTCAGTGAACTCAGGAGCAGCACCTGGAAATACTTCCCTGAGTGAGAGAATCAGGATTTGGCTCTGAGTTTGGTTTTTTGTGTGCCTGGAGTCTCTCTGTGCACATGTGCATGTACTGATATTATAATGGGATCCAAGAATATGACTAATGGCTGAAAATAGAGCATGTGCAATAAATGTTAATAATAACAAAACCAATAATAATAATGATAGCAAAAAATATTTCAGTGTACTTGCACATTTTTAATTCTGAATTTCAGAAACGAAATTGATACTGCTATCTTGGTAAGATAGTTTCACAACATATTACTTTGAAATAAACTATGACTTGGGGAAGCCAGTGTTGCTGACATAGGTAAAAATGAAATGCACTTCCTGGAAAGAGCTAATGTAAGAGCTGTGCACTTCCTAATTTCTGATGTAATCTTTGTACAAGCATGACTTTCCCAGAGTGGGTTTCACACTCCTGGAGCAGCAATCTGTTTTCTTTTATGTAACTAGCTAGAGGAAAAGAAATCACCAGTTTATCTAGAGGTAAGGGGTATAAAAGTTGACTTTTCAGTGTGATTTGCCAACTAAAAGTTATGTCTGATTTCCAAAATGAAACTTGGCAAACAGCTTCTCTAGGGCAAAACTTAACTGAAAAGAATAGCTTTTCTCTACTATTTTTAATTTGTAAACTACTTCAGTTTGTATAGAGGCTACACCTACATCTGTCACTAGACTAATAAACTTAGCCAGACAAAAAACCTTAATGATTTTTAAGGCACACAAATCCATCCTCAAATCTCAAACACAAGCCGCAAACTTCAGAGTTGAAGTCAGATGCTGCTAAGCACCACAAATCTGTCTGTGCTATACTGTGCCTAAAGGTGACACAAAACTGTGTGTGCCTCTTCCTCAGAGCAAGCTTGTCAGTGGTTTTGGTACTCATTTTTTAATGTTTCTTTTCAATAACTCATTTAAGAATCTAGCACATTAAAAGGGACTATTACCATAAAGGAAAATATTTTTAAAAATAAATCTGAGACCAAGAAGATATTCCAACAGCCTGTCCAGAAGTATGGAGCACTGTTTGGTTGTTTCTGTATATAATTGTGCTGACTGCATCTTTCTGACACTCGATGACAGCTTTTTTTAATATGAAGTATTAATGGCAGACTGACAGTGAGAAATACAGGGTGAGAAGAAAATGCAAAGTATACACATAGCAACTTCTAGATAAAGCTTTTATATTCTGGTTACTGGCAGTAAAAATATAGAAAATATGAAGACAAAATTTTCAGGAACTTTGCTTTTACCATGGTTAAAGTTTCTTGTTCTTTTTTTTTTTTTTTTTTTTTTTTTTTTTTTTTTTAATAGCATGCTGATGGCCAGAAAGGAGAAAAAATGTTTACAAAGTGTTCTTAAAGACTATTACTGAAAATATGCGTTGTTTTGTGATTTTGATTATTCTTAATCAAGGAGTCATCTCCTCTTTTTTTTTTTTTTTTTTCCCCCAAAACTTTTGCTTTACTTTACACGATGCTATTCCTGATTTCTCTAGGAGAAAGTGAATAACATGGAAATAATTCGTTCAGATGTATTCATTTCTCAGGAATTAAAACAAGTAAGTACATCTACTGAATGCAAACTTTAAAGTATGTTTATAACACACATAAATCATCAATATTTTGGCATTTAATTATGTGGTTAAACGGTATACATATTTTGGAGAAGTAGATGATTTTTATATTTAAGTCACTACTTGAAAATATGCAGCGACAAGATAAACCTTAAATCAGAGGCAAGCTTGAATAGCTTTGTAATGAGGATGATTTATTTTGATTCTCACTTCTGATTTCTGAGTTGTCACTGCTGTTGTATACTTCATCCATGCAACTTTGCACAACTGGCAGTGCTGAATATAAACCAAAGCCATATGTTTATGTCCTTTTGCCAAACGACTACAGCAAATAGTTCTATTATTCCCTTAGGTAACCAACGTGTGCCAAGTATTTCTATTAGTCTGCTTTACCAAGGCTTTAGAGGGCAGAGTCACAGCTTTATGAAATTAAGGGGCAACTGCTAGCTTTTTAAATGTAGAGAAAAATTATATAGTCTACCATACTGAAATGCAGCTCAACACAAGCTGATGTGTGATCCTACTTTCTGGATGCTTTTTTCCCTGGAATATATTTTTGACATAGTTCAATGTCTTGTCAATATTTCCTGGGCTACTATGTATTAAATATAATTTTTTAGAAGGAAAAAAGTGTTAATATTCAAAAAGAAAAAAAAAACACTTTTACACCTTGAGATCTTTTACAAATACACCAAAGTTTTTGTCCCACCCAACTGATATATAGTTTAGAAAACCTCAATAAGCATTATTTAAAAAAAAATAATAAAATAAAATTCACAAATAAACTATCCCTTACAGATTAAATTTAAGCGGTGCATTATGAAATACATTCTCACCACTGGAGTCATATGGATTCAAAGATAGTTGTGTTTCTGTCAGTATGTAATGCTAACAGAGTGTATTTCTGAAACTTAAGAACTAGAATTTCTATGTATTTACAAAGATTTATATCATTTTCAATTGTTCAATATTGTTATACCTGAATGTTGAAGACTGCTGTTCTTAAAACAGTGGATGTTATGTGAGAAAAATAGTCCTAGAGCACGAGACACTACACATGAAACCACATAGTATTCTAGTACTAGAGATATATATTGACTCAGATTCATTTTTGTAAATAAATTATCCAACTTTTGCATGTTTCTGGGTGTAAATATGTACAGATTCCAAAGGACCAAATTCGTCACTCAGCCCAAGATGTCTTGCCTGATTTAACAGATAATCCTGAAATTCATTCTCGGGGG